ACAGAAAACTTCCCAGACAGAAGGGAAGAATTAGACGTACAGATAAGTGAGGCATATAGAACTCCAACTAGCCATGATAAAAAAAAATTGCACATAGACATATCATAATCAAGATCCCAGAAATTCAACATAAAAGAAAAATACTACAAGCAGTAAGACAAAAGAAATAAATCACATGCAAAGGAAAGCCCATTAGAATCACAGCAGACTTTTCAACACAAACCCTTAGGTCAAGGAGAGCGTGGAGTGAGTTATTCCAAGTCTTAAAAGAAAACAACCTCCAACCTAGATGGATGTATCCTGCAAAACTCTCTTTCAAAATAGATGGGGAAATAAGATACTTCCACAACAAAGAACACCTGAGAAATTTCATGAACACCAAACCAGCACTACAAGGAATTCTAAACAATATCCTAGAAAAGGACAATGAAGGTCACAATGCCATGAGTTTCAACAGACCAAATTAAATAGGCAAGGCAAGGAACTAAAAGGAGACGGGAGAAAAAGATAAAGAGTCAACAAAAGGATAATGACATGAAAATAATAAGTCAGAATATATCAGTTATAACCATCAATGTTAATGGCCTCAATTCACCAATCAAGAGAAATACATTGGCAGAATGGATTAAGAAGCAAAATCCAACAATATGTTGTATACAAGAAACACACCTAATGCAAAAGGAAGCCCATAGACTGAAAGTGAAAGGATGGAAAACAATTCGCCATGTGTCAGGAGCCCAGAAAAAGCAGGGGCAGCAATCTTATTCTCAGACAAAGTAAATTTCAAACCAAAACTCATTAAGAGAGACAAAGAAGGACACTACATCCTTGTAAAGGGAACAATTCAGGAGGAAGAGTTGACAATCATAAACATATATGCACCAAATATAAATGCCCCAACTATATAAAACAAATATTAAGTAACATGAAAAACCAAATAAGCACTAATAAAATTTTAGTGGCAGATTTAAATACCCCACTATCACTAACTGACAGATCATCTAGGCAGAAAATCAGCAACAAAATAATAGAGCTGAACTAAGCTTTGGAACACATGGACTTAATATATGTTTACAGAGTATTCCTCCCCACAAAATCAGCATATACATTCATTTTGTCTGCACATGGATCATTCTCCAAGATAGACCACATATTGACTCACAGAACGGTTCTGAATAAATGCAAAAGAATTGAAATCATCCCCTGTATGTTATCAGATCATAGTGCAATCAAGCTGGAGATCAATAGCATCCAAAAAAATGAAGTACCTAGGAAGCAATCTAACAAAAGAAGCAAAAGATCTCTACAATGAAAACTGCAGCACTCTGAAAAAAGAAATTGAAGAAGATATAAAAAAAGGGGGAAAGATATCCCTTGCTCCTGGGTAGGAAGAATCAACATAGTGAAAATGGCCATACTACCAAAACTTCTATATACATTCAATGCAATACTAATTGAAAGTCCAACACTATATTTCACAGAACTAGAAAAAAAGAATCCAAAAATTCATTTGGAACCATAAGAGACCTAGAATAGCAAAAACAATTTTAGGCAACACACATGGCACCGGGTATAACAATTCCCAATTTGAAACTATACTACAAAGCCACTGTGATAAAAACAGCATACTACTGGCAAAGAAACAGGCCTGAGGATCAGTGGAACAGACTGGAAGACACAAAAACAAACCCAGATATACTCAGCTACCTCATCTTTGACAAAGGAGCTGACCATCCTCAGTGGAGGAAACATGCCCTCTTTAATAAATGGTGTTGGAGAAACTGGATTTCAACCTGCCACAGAGTAAAACTAGACCCTTATCTTTCACCATGCACTAAATTAAAATCCAAATGGATTAAAGATGTAAATATTAAAAGAGAAACAATAAACTTTCTGGAAGATAAGTTAGGCAGAACTCTAGAAGACATTGGCATAGGAAAAGACTATACGAACAAATCCTCAATAGCACGGGAAATAGCAGATTGAATCAATAACTGGGATCTCATCTTATTAAAAAGCTTCTGTACTTCAAAAGAAACCATAAGCAGAACTAAGAGACAACCTACAATGTGGGAAAAATCATTTTTACCAGCTGTTCCTCAGACAAAGGACTATTATCAAGAATATATAAAGAGCTCAAAATAATCTGCCTCCCCAAATATAAAGACTCGATTCAAAAATGGGCATCTGAAATGAACAGATATTTATCAGACAAAGAAGTAAAAGCAGCAAGTAAATATATGAAAAAATGTTCCACATCACTGATCATTCGAGAGATGCAGATGAAAACAACACTGAGATTCCACCTCACCCCACCAAGAATGGCTGCTATCAAAAAGTCACACAATAACAAATGTTGGCGGGGTTGTGGAGAGAAAGGAACCCTTCTCTGTTGTTGGAGTGCAGACTGGTGCAAGCACTATGGAAATCAATACTGAGATACCTCAAAGAGCTTGGACTGGAGGTTCCATTTGACCCAGCCATCCCTGTGCTGGGTATCTTTCCAAAAAACTAAAAGAATCATATCACAGAGAGATATACACACCCATATTTATAGCACCACAGTTTGTAATAGCTAAAACTTGGAAACAGCCTATTTGCCCATCAATTGGAAACTAGATAAAGCAAATGTAGTTGTTCTATAAAATGGAATATTACTCAGCCATATAGTATGAGAAAATAGATTCGTTCATAGGAAAATGGATACATATTGAGGATATACTCCTAAGTGAAATAAATAAGGCTCATATGTGTAAATACCGAATAGTTTCTCTGGTGTGAATAATCTGCAATAATACAGAAGATCCTAATAAGATTACTGACATTTAGAAATGGGAAGAAAGGAGCTAAAGGTGTAGGGAACATGGGACGGGCAGGGGATGGGTAAAAAGGGACAAGAAAAAAATGTGAGATAATGAAAAGATGGAAATAAAGTGTTTGTAGATGGCGAGGGGAGGAGGGTGTGAAGGGAGGGCAGGGACAAGGGGAAAAAATGAGAGCCAAAACCTGTCATGAAGAGATACAGGATCCCAACAATGAATGTAACTGTGCTGTATCCCTAAAATGTACCAATAAACTCAATAAAAGCTGGAAAAAATTTAAAAAAAAGGATAACATCATTTATATAGGATTTTTTCAAGGAATTAAACCCTTTATCCAGGTATACTGATCTCTAAAAAGTTATATATGATTAAAATTCTTTCAAAATGTTTTTATTTGAACTGGTTAGAAAATTACTAATGAAAAAAATGTGTCTGAGATTTATTATGTCTGTTTTCTTATTTTAAAAACATGAAGTGAGCTAGGTGTGGTGGTGCGGGCCTGTAATCCCAGCACTCTGGAGTCTGAGGCAGAAGCTTTGCTGAGTTTGAGACCAGCCTGGGCTGTATAGTGAGTTCCAGGTCAGTCTCAACTACATAGCAAGACCCTGTCTCAAAACAAACAAACAAATAAATAAACAAACATGAAGTGAAGGGAAGATACAATTAAAATTTAGTACAATATGTGTCAGTTAAGTACAACTTACATCAAGGCCAACTATATTTCATGAATAAAAGTGGAGTGCATAACTGAAATTTTTGGTTCTAGAAGGAAACAAGGAAAGTAATGCATGTTGCATATCATTGCTCTTCCTATAGGCCTATATCTGTTTTAATTTCTGTTTTAATATTTTAGTAGGATCCAGAATTGTAGCCTTGGTTCTTCTTCCTAATTTATAACAGATTTCTATTAAACTATGAGAGACTATAACTTTTATCAAGCCATGTTTAGGATTTAGTTGGAAATGTGTTTAATGAAAACAAGATTGGATTTTTAGAATAGGAAGTGCTAAAATATTATTTAATTTTTGCCAAAAATTAATCAGTGGGTAAGGTGACCACTGGTGAATATTAAGTAAAATTCTTCTAAATGTTTAAAATTGAATATATTAGAATCTGAACTCTTCTAAAGTTTCATTTCATTTTAATACTCTCTTGAACTCTAAGCTACAACTTAGTGTAATATTTTTAGAATCATGTTGATTTAGTATTAAAATATTCTCATTTTGCCACATAATTATGGAAAAATCTCATTGGTGTATCATGAAAGTCTAAAGGAGTATATCTGAAAGAAGTCATTGCAGAAGCCTACTTATTGCACTTCTTTAATTTTTATTATTAATCATCTGCAAGCTGATGAAACATGCAGAGCACTTCAAAGGTGTCTTTTCATTGTACATTTCAGATAATTTTTCAGACTTTTGCAGGAGGGTGTTTTGTAAGCTGGTTTTGTTCCATCTGTGGTGTGATATGTGTGTGTGTGTGTGTGTGTGTGTGTGCAATCAACATGCACATAAAAAAGTAAAAGGTAAGACATCTAAAATGTTTCTGCCATCTAAAATAAAATGTATTTCCTGGAAGAATTTAAGCAATATGTTACATAATGGCAATCTACTTTTATTGAATACTATATAAGTATTTCATGTATAGAAACAAAAGCAACATATCTTTTGTCAGCAGTCAAGTAATTGTAATATAATGCACAGAAATGCAAGTGGTACAGAGAAGAGACCACTAGCAGTCTAGGTTGAAAATATGATTTTTTTCAAACAAAAATAAGAAAAAAGTGACAATCATTCATTTTTAAGATGACTAATTTGTAATTCACTTTGCAAAAGTCTTTTGGCCATTTCTTTTTATCAAGTCATTCATATGTTAAATTTCTCTCTTGTATGTGGGATTCAGTAACATATATGTTAAGATTTAGCATAGTTCAATTTAAATCTATAGTCATTCAATTTTTCTTTTCTTCTCTGCTAAATTGAATTTTAAATATATAAATGCAGGATTTTTACAATTGTTTTGCATCATATTATCTATGTAAAGCAAGCATTTAGCAGTTTTATTGCTTAAAATGTGTTAAATCTGTACATATATACATATCTATTTTTGTACATTCATATATACAGTTACTATAAAAAGAAAACAGTGACATTAAGAAATATTTTCCTCTTAATCTAGATATTCTATTACTAAAGGCAAAGTGTTCAGTGTCTATGATGATGGTACAATCATTAACACTGGCGAACTTGACCGGGAGATCAGTGCATGGTACAACCTAAGTGTCACAGCCACAGAAAGAGGTAAGTACTACCTTGGGAACCACACGGTGCTCACTGTATTTGTTGAACCATTACATAATTTTTATGTGTGACGGTAATGATAATTTCAAATGTTGTTGAAATTAGGGTTAAATAATACAAAATTTCTTCTACCTGCCTAGTTTGCTAGAGCATAAATTAGTATCTTTTTTTTTTCTACCAGGGATCGAACTTGGGTCCTAGTGTTTGTGAGGCAGGTGCTGAAACCACTGAGCTCAATCCCTAATCCCAGTTAGTATCTATTCTTATCAGAGCTTACTAACACACTTACTTCTAAATATCCTATTAACTGTCCTTAGTATAACAGTGAATGTTTAATGAAAAAAATAGTGGAAGAAAATGCAAGATATAAAACAATAATATCACCTGTTATTCTAAAACATAGTCATATGTAGTTATGTGTTCTTATAATCTGTCTCATGGACATATTATCAAATCTACAAATTAAATACACATTTTGAAGTTTTAAAATACATATTCTCTATGGATTCATTTTTATATTGCAAGTTTAATGTGAAAAGGTCTTGTGCACTTTCTATACAATTATTTAGCATAAATAATAGGTAAAGAAGAAGAAAATCTATGATACTCATTTCATAGCTGTACCTTTCCTAAATTTCAATTTAGACAATTGTTGTTATTTTATATATTAACTACTCTGAAAATGGTAATGAAATCACATGAGACTTAAAATTCTAAATTTAAAATATATTTATTTCATTTCATCATAAGCAGCTTAGAATGTCAATACATAAGTAACTATTATGGAAGCCATATGCAGATTATCTGTGCTTTATTCTGGTTTAGAATAAAGTAGTAGAGTTAATCTTGCACATCAAGGAAAAGTTAATATCCTAAGTTGACTCTTTAAAATGTAGGCAGTTAGAACCAAGTTACATCATATAAAGGTACAAGATCCCAATGATGCATGCAACTGTACTGTATACCTAAAAAAATACCAATTAACTTAGTGGAAATAAAATAAAATAAAATGCGGGCATTTAAAATAAACCATATTTTGGAATAATTGTAGTATAGAACATGAATAATTTAAGTAACATTCACTGGTTGTATATCACAAAACCAATAGTTCATTTTCAAATTAAAGTAATAGTTCTAGCTTGTACAGATAGCTCAATCTTAATCAGTAGTGACCAGATGTTTATTTTAGTGACAGAATGATGACTTCTTGGCATTATAAAGGCAGATAAAATCAGATGCTTTACAATTTAAATATTGTTCTTGAATTTACCAATTATTCTAGCATTCATATTAACTAAATGTAAAGAAATAGACATAACAGGATATAAAATATTATCAAAATCATCCCATTACTCAATAGAATTAAAGGATTACATATGAACTCCTCTCTGCACTGTCTATTTTCTTATAGCTGAGTTTACTTAGAATTCTAAATTTTCATGGCTTTCTTGGTTTTTGGAGGTATTGAGCATTATTCCTCACTGCATTGAATAGTTAGCAGGTAACTTGGTAGCAGGTAAAATGTTTTTTGCAGTACACTGAAAAGGTCAGTGGAAACACGGCAGGGGATGGGAGTCTAGAGTTTGAATTTTCCACCTACACAATAAACTATGGAGCACCAATGTGGCCCATGGAGCAACTGCTGCAGCAGAAAAAACATGCCAAGTCTTTCATGTCAGAAAACACAAAGATGTTTATTCTAAGAGCAAAAAGCTTTTATTCATTGTGTATTTCTAAGAACAAATTATTTATAATGTCACTCTTTACAAATCTACGGTAAAAAAAGAATTCAAGTCAGTTCAAAGGAAGACTGGGTGTCCTTGAAAAAAAAGTACATATATATATAGATCTATATATATCTGTAAAATAGCTTTCAGCTATCAGAACATTATATTTTATTGAATTTGTAGAAATTACACTTCACTTTATGCTTAACTTTACCCATTAGATTTTTTTAAAGTTATTATTTACTTTTTTAAATTAGATGCATAACAAAGAAAACTGTTAAAAATTAAAAATTTATAATTTGTTCTTTGAGATATAAAATCTTCTAATCTTTTATTAATAAAAAAGAGAGGAATCAATGATACAGAACTTGTCAGATAATTTGTATCCTTACCATTAATGGAATAATTCTTTATTTTTAATTGTTTATTGGTACATTTTAGGTATAAAATACATTCGTCATTGGGATCTTATGCCTTTACATGATGGATGTATCTTTATTATTATTATTATTATTCGGTACCAGGGAACGAATTTAGCCCCTTGTACTTGGGAGGCAGCCACTGGAACCACTGAGCTAAATCCCCAGCCCCATGATGGATGTATCTTGATTCTTATTTTTTCCTCATTCCACTGCTCTCCCTTCACCTCCTCCACCCATCTCTATTTGCAAAGGCTCTGTTTCCATTTTTCCTTTTCTCGTACTTTTTCTTTTTCCTTCTTTCACCTCCCCTAATTTTCCCAGTTCCCCTACTCCTGTAGAGAAATAATTCTTTAATCAGATGAATAGCATTCTATGAAAAGATCTCTAGAATGAAATCAATGAAATATGTTTTGTTTTAACTTTGTCAGTTGAGTGGAAAAAAGTGCATTTCAGCATTGTGAAATAAAACAAAAACAAAATAATTTTTTGAGTTGAAAGCTATCTTCTACTCATAACTCTAATTTTTTTCTATTTCTGTTGTTCGTTTTAGGGAAGAGCTACCTAGAAATAGCTTTAATAAAATTAGGTGACTAGTAGGTTTATGAATCTTTTTGTCTTTGAGTTTGTTTACAATCCACATCATTAAATCTACTTTGGATCTCGGCGGAAGAAAAATGTATATAAACACTACTGTCCTTCTCCCATTATATCGGTACCAGAATCTATACGTTTGAACATTCTAGCCCTGAAAGTACTAAAAATAAAACACGTAACCAGAGAAAAAGAAGATATTCCATCAAATCGTTTCAGAAAACATTTGCTGTATGTGATCAATATTGTGAAATGTTTGTGACATAAAACAATACTGATTCCTGGCAAGGGATGATCCACTTTTAACATTTGTTTTTTCAGCAAATGAAGTTCAGTACGCTTTAGTCTCTTTCCTGGAAAGCTTCCTAAATTAAGCCCAAACCATTTATCAGTATGCTGCTCAGTGAATAAAATACTGCTTTAAAATGAAGCTGTGAATGTACGTATACATTAAGACTTCAGTTCATGAACGCTTCTGTTTGCAAGCAATTCGGTAAGCGTTCGGCAAAATTCTGCTTTTGTTCACAAACTCAATATAGGGTGATGAAAACAACCAAGGCAGTCTTCTCCAACAAGCATAAAAGCAGCTGTCTTCACCGAAATCACAAAGAAAACTAGGTTAATAAGCCAAGGTACTACTATGTATATTTTGTACAATCATACAAGTTTTTAAATAATTTAATGACCCTCCTATTAATTTTTTTCAATTTTTTCATAGCTGAAATACATTCTACAATTTATTCACTGAAGCAAGAATTGTTTTGTTGTCGTTATGTATTTAAATCAGAACAAATCTGAGCTTTCATTTCTCAACAATACCATCTTGAAGTCTTTGTTTTATAAATGTAACACAACAGAAAAGAGTTATCAAGCTGACAATCTCTAACAGATTTTGTATTTCATAAGGTCCATACAGTTTGTGTAAAATATGTGTACAATATTCATGTGTAATTAATTGAAAAGCTGTTTTCAGTATAAGTGCAACTGTTTTCTATTTGGGTAATATAATTAAGAAAGTATAACCCCAACTCAGAAAAACTGTCCACCAAGGTGCACAGAAAATTGTTTCATTATTGAAAACATTAATCCCAATGTCATATGCTTCATAGATAAACCACTAACAAATTGCAAAAGCAGAAAAAAGTGACTTTTATTAAGTAAGATACAACCTGTTGTCTATCTGTGTTCAAGATAAACATGTAGATCTCAAGTAAAAAAATTGAAATCATTACTTACATATAATTCATGTGAAATTCACTAGCTATTTGAAGTAACCAGCTCTGATTGCTAATTGATTTATCAAAAAAAAAAAAACCTAAGTTTTTTTGTGTATTTTGATGAGATAATTTAATGACTTGGAACAAAACATTTGCTGAAATTAGCCCCCTATCCTTCAGCTTTTTATTCTTGAATGATTACATTTCAAAAGTTGGACCCCGTACTTGAGGGGAGATAATTTTGTGTTGTAAATTCAGGAAGAGGCTTGGTTTTAAAAATTTGTATACTTTTGTAAAAAATAGAAGAAAATGAGATTATTAAGCAAATGTTTAAAGAAAAAAGGATGTCTAGTGTTTTCCCATTAGCAAAATCATATTTAGTTTCTAAATAGAAACATTAAATTACATTTTTAGAAGTTCCAGAGTCCATTTGTCAATCTCTGAAGATGATCTTAATAGTCACAAGGGGCATGGGTATATAATTAGAATTTACTGATTAGTTGTCAGTGATCCTATTAAGCATTGTACAATGCACAGTCAGCTCCCTACCACAAAGAATTATTCAGTCCAAAACATAAATGCTAACAAATTTGAGAAATACTCAGTGAGACCACTTGAATTTTCTGTTTTGTGATACTATAGTTGATACTTTTTCTGAAGTCTTGTATATCAATTTAAATATTACAAATTAGAACTATTAATATCTTGTCTTACTATGTAAACATTTTCCATAGCACTGCTTCATTTTTAATACATTATTTTTACAATTAAAACTATACTTGATCATAACTTTCTTCCTTTATGATTTATGGATTTCTTGACTTAATATTTATATAAATTTGCAGCTACATTTTATTATAGTCACTTTATTTAAAAGCATTTTATTAAGTAGGGCACAGTGGTGCATACCAGTAATCCCTGAACTTAGAAGGTTAGGTAGGGAGATCATTTATCAATTTAGAAGCCAAAATGGGCAACATGGTGAGTTCAAAGCCAGCCTGCACTATATACACAAAACTTGTCTCAAAAAAATATTCAATATATTCCAAACTCATTTTCATTTTTAAGAGCTATACTCCTAATGTTTTAGTAGTTCAGAGTACTGATTACTAATTTCTTAATCTGCTATTTACAATTCAGCCAGAACCTTGGGCATAACATTTAATAAGAAATGATTTCTCAGTTCTCCTGTTAGCAAAGTTGTTAGGGTAATAATGCCTCTATTGATCAGAATTGAATTAAACTAATACAAATACTTTCAGCAGTTCCTAGAGTTTCCAAGAAGTTTGTCTACCTGTTACCTAATTTTGCTGATCACTTAAACTCATATTAGAAAGTGCTAAAAGATTACTTGAATCAAACACATTGAACAGTTTTTTTAAAGCTCCACTGTTAATAAATGTGTGAAACATATAGAGATTCTCTTCTCAGCTTATTTCAAGTAAAATAAAAATATTCTACATAGCACTGAATGTGATTTTTTGATTATTTAAAGACAGAATTATTTTTCAATTTAATTTTCAGACAATGTACAACAGATCTCTTCAGTCCCTGTGTATGTACAAGTGCTTAACATTAATGATCATGCTCCTGAGTTCCTGCAATACTATGAGACTTACGTTTGTGAAAATGCAGAGTATGGTCAGGTAAGAAATAAGAAAGTAACAAAGTTTGAGAGATATATAATTCCCTCACATATTACATGTTATAGATTATAACATAGAGCATACATAATATCATATATATTTTTTACTAAAGACTTATAGGTAATTGATTATATATTATGATTCATATAATAGTTATGAAATAATATATGGTATGCTATATATTATTTTGTGATATATTTATCTCATTTGGGAATATTAACAAATCTACTTTAAACATATGTTCTAATGTGCATGTTCCATGTAATAAAATACATTTCTTTTTATATAAAGACATAATTTTTTTCTTCTTTAACACTACTAAAATTAAAAATAAAATCTTCTGCACACACTAGAAATTCATTAGTAAGTTATTGACACTCACTTTGAACTATACTGTCATTACCTCACAGTTTATTTTACATACTTTCTCCATCTAGAGCTCATGTTATTATTTTTAAAATACGGAACTAAAACTAGCTTGTGTTTTTCAAACTAATTTCTTAGCTCCAGGACATGACAACCTAACATAATTCCTATGATTCTCTGTTTAATATACAATCCTTTTAAATATCTTCAGATATTTTCTAAAACAATCACTAATATCCAAATTTGTATAATTGTTTTATAATGTATTTCAAATACACTTGCATCTACCAATGAACCTAGTTGTAGGCCATTTGAAATCTACAAAGGCAGAGATTACTTTTCTCAACAAATAAATAGTAGAAGCCAACATTTTTCTCTATTTTCAATTTTCTAAAAATGTGAGAAAATAAGGCTATAATAAATAAAGGAATATCTTAATTGAGTATGCAACTATAGTACATTGGAAATTGTAAATGGTTCTTATAAGGTCTTGTGAACATTATTCAGGTTAAAGTTGGATTCATTGTACACTTTCAATAGTTTGCAAATCTTGCTTTTAAAATGGTCAAATATATTTTTCTAAATAAGAATAATTTTGAATTTTCAAATTACTTAAAAATTTAATGGTCTGGGGATTTAGCTCAGTGGTTCGGTGGCCTGCCTTGCAAGCCCAAGGACCCAAGTTCAATCCCCTGTAACAAAAAAAAAAACAAACAAAAATGAGCACTTATATATGGTATGTATATTACAATATTCAGAACAAAGACATTGTCAAAGGAAACTCCAACTTGATAACTTTGCTTTTATTTGCATAACTCATATATAGTACTGCAAAGTATAATTTAACATAGTATAATCAGCAAAAACTAAAGTATAAGCATGGTTTATTGTACTATACAAAAAAGACATTGGTGCTCTAAAAGCAAGATGTACAAAACAGTACAAAAATAAATAGATAGGTCGTAAGTCTGAGTAGCAGGTCATAAGTCCAAATAGCACACCTCAGGAGTAAATTAAGCCATTTAACAGGTAAGTCATTAAGCAAATAAGGTATTTTAAAAAGTTTGATTAAAGCTTTCCAGTTTAATTCAACTTAATTTTAACTGATATATAATTTTAATTGTACATATTAATGGGTACCATGTGATGTTTCAATAAATGTATATGTAGTGCAATATTTAAATCAGGTTAAACATATCTATCAAAATAAACATTTAACATTTTATGGTAAAAACATTCACTATAATTTCTTCTAGTTTTCTGAAATATGCAAGAGCATTATTTCAAAGCATAAATAGTACGGAAAGTCTTTATAAATTTTAAATAGTTCAAATATATTTAATTTATCATATTTATTTATTTATTTTATAATGAGTTTTTTATTGAGTTTTTGGTACTTTTAAAGTATACAGTGCAGTTACATTCATCACTGGGATCTTGTACCATTGCATGACATATCTTGGTTCTCATTTCTTCCCCATACCCTTGCCCTCAGTTCAATCCCTCCAACCTCCCCTATTTACAAAGACTTTGCCTCCATTGTTTCATTTTCTTATAATTTTTCTTTTCCCTTATTTCATTTCCCCTGCTCTTCCCATTTCCCTTACATCTTTAGCCTTTTTTTTCTTCCTATTTCACATTATTAGTTATACAATTTGAATCTTATTTACACTTCTCGTTTTTCACACCAGAAAATATTCGGTCTTTGCACATGTGTGTCTCACTGATTTCATTTAAGAGTGTGGCCTCAATGTGCATCCAATTTCGTATGAATGACTCTACTTTTCATTCGTTATGGCTGAGTAGTACTCCATTTGTAGAAAAGCCACATCTTTATCAAGTCTCCAACAGATAGTCAATTGGGCTATTTCCCAATTTTAGCTGTTACAAACTGTGCCACTGTAAACATGGGTGCACATATATCACAGTGGTATGATTCTTTTAACTTTTTTTGAAAGATACCCAGAAGAGGGATAGCTGGATATAATGGAACCTCTAATCCTAGATTTCTGAGGTGTCTCCATGATTTCCACAGTGTTTGTACCAGTCTTAACTCCCGCCAACAATGGGGAAGGATTCCTTTTCCCAACAACGCCACCAACATTTGTTATTAGTTGATTTCTTCATAGCAGTCATTCTTTATTGGGTGAGGTAGAATCTCAGTGTTTTTTTCATCTGCATCTCTCTAATTACCAGTGATGTCAAACATTGTATTTCACATATTTATTTGCTGCTGTTAATTCTTTGTCTGAGAAATGTCTGTTCACTTCAGATGCCCATTTTTGAATTAGGTCCTTATATTGGGGGAGCCTGATTTTTTGAGTTCTTTATGTATTCTAGATAATAATCCTTTTTCTGAGGAACAGCTTGTAAAATTTTTTCCACTATGTACATTGTCTTTTAGCACTGTTGGTGGTTTCTTTTACAATACAAAAGTTTTTTTAATAAGATGAGATCCCAGATGTTGATTCTTTGTGCTAGTTCCTGTGCTACTGAGGATTTGTTCGTAAAGTCTTTTTCTGTACCAATGTCTTCGAGCGTTCTACCTAACTTATCTTCCAGCAAGTTGTGTCTCTATTTTAATATTTATATCTTTAATCCACTTTGATTTTAGTTTAGTGCATGGTGAAAGAGACAGATGCAGCTTTAATCTTGGCAGGTTGAAATTCAGTTTTTCCAATACCATTTATTAAAGAGGCTATCTTTTATCTGCTGAAGATGATTGGCTGCTTTGTAAAAGATGAGATAGCTGAGTACATCTGGAGTTGTTTCTGTATCTTCCAATCTTTTCCTTTGATCCATGGGTCTTTTTCTTTGCCAGAATCATGCTGTTTTTATCACAGTGGCTTTGTAGTATAATTTCAAGTTGGGGATTGTAATACCCCCTGTCATGTCTGTGTTGCCTAGAATTGCTTTTGCTATTCTAGATATTTTCTGGTTCCAAATGAATTTTTGGATTATTTTCTCTAGATCTGTGAAATATACTGTTGGAGTTTCTATCAGGATTACATTACATCTGTATAGCAGTTTTGATAGTATGGCCATTTTCAATAGGATGATTCTTCCTATCCAGGAGATGTCTTTCCATTTTCTTATATCCTCTTTGATCTCTTTTTTTTCAGAGTGCTGTAGATTTCAGTGTAGTGGTCTTTGCTTCCTTCATTAGATTATTCCTAGATACTTCATTTTATGGATGCTATTTTGAAAGCAATTGTTTCCCTAATTTCTTTCTCAGTGAGTATGTTATTTGTGTACAAGAAGGTTATTGATTTTTTTCTCATTGAGTTTATTGGTACATTTTAGGTATGCAGTACAGTTACATTCATCATTGGAATCTTGGTTTTTGAGTGTTGACCTTGTGTGCAGCTACTCTGTGGAAAATATCAATTAAGTCTAGAAGTCTTTTGGCAGAGTTTTTTGGGTCTTCTCTGTAGAATATCACATCATCAGCAAATAAAGACACTTTAACTTCTCCCTTTCCTATTGCTATTGCTTTAATTTCTTTCTCATGTCTAATTGCTGTGGCTAAGCTTTCCAGCACTATATTGAACAGGAGGGGCGATAGGGGACATCCTTGTCTCATTTCTGATTTGAGGGTGAAGGTTTTCAGTTTTTGGCCATTTAATATGATGTTGGCTGTTGTTTTTTCATAGATAGCCTTTATCAAGTTGAGATAAAGACCAGATGGTCTTTCCAATTTTCTGCAGGTTTTTAAAATCATACATAGGTGTTGAATTTTGTTGAATAATTTTTCTGCATCTACTGAGATGATCATATGTTTTTTGTTCTTGACTCTGTTAATATAGTGTATTACATTTATTAATTTACATAAATTGAACAGTCCCTGAATATCTGGAACAAATTCAACTCAGTCAGGGTGTATGATCTTCTTGATGACCCTCGGTAATTCTCTTTGCCAGTATCTTATTGAGGATTTTTGCATCTATGTTCATTAGGGAGATTGGCCTGTAGTTTTCTTGTTTTTTGGGTCTTTCTCTGGTTTTGGAATCAAAGTAACACTTGCTTCCAGGAATGAATTTGGAAGTATTGTTGCCCTTTCAAGTTCATTGAAAAGTTTAAAAAGTATTGGCAGTAGTTCCTCTCTAAATGTCTTATATATTTCAGCTGTGAAGCCATCAGGACCTGGGCTTTTCTTAGTTGGCAAATTTTTAATAATGTTTTCAATTTCACTGATTGTACTTGGGTGTTTCAAATATTTTTGTCTTCTTCATTCTACTTTGATAATTCATAACTATCAAAAAATTTGTCCATTTCTTCTGTGTTTTCCATTTTATTAGAGTACAGGTTCTCACAGTAGATATTGATGATCATTTGTATTTCTGCTGGATATATTATAACTTTACCTATTCATCCCTAATTGCATGGATCTGAGCATTTTCTTTCCTTTTTTGATAAGGTTGGATAAGGATTTATCAATTTTATTTATTCTTTCAAAAAACCAACTCAGATCCATTGATTTTTTGTATCATTTCCTTAATTTCCATTGACTTGATTTCTGCTGTGATCTTTACAATTTCCTGCCATGTACAAGCTTTGGGTTTTTCTTGCTCTTCTTTTTCTAGGAGCCTAATGTTCATCATTAGATTGTCTATTTGAGTTCACTCTGTTTTCCT